ATTATAACAGTATTACTAGGAAAATAAAAATAAGAACAATGTTCTCACTCCAAATAGACAGGGTATTTTCTATGTCAATGAGTCTTGAACTTTTCTATGAAGTAGTAAAGAATCTATAGCAATACAACCATCATGTGATACCACCAGGTTGGGGATTTATAAAAATCATTCCTAGGCTAACGAAGGAAAGGTAAACAAAAACTTAGGATGATATCCCGAGAAGGAGATGATGGAAACTTGAAATAATGAGAAAACAGCAGATTAGCAAAGAAAACAGGAAGAGGGAAAGGAAAATAAGGAAAGAAATGAGGAAACTTACTGAAAAATCATCTAAACATATGCTGCTGGATTTGGTTAGTATTTGGATATGACTGTGAAGTAGAAACAGAGGTCAGAGAATAGAGGAGGAAGTTAGGGGCTGAGTAAATAACCAGTTCATCTGGGACATGCTAACTTTGCAGTATCTGTGAGCCGTGCTGTTGAAAACACCAGTGTTAAGATCAGACCTGAAAGCTGAAACTCAAGGGAAAAGCTAAGGGCGGGGGACTAAGGCTATGCTTGTATTTGGCAGATAGAAATACAAGAGATGGCCCCGAAGGCATGAGGCAAAAGTACAGAGTCAGGAAGTAGTGTCCATCAACTGAATCACTTCCACATAAGGAAGCTTCGCTTTCCCGTTGGAACTGAGTAGGTCCAACCTCAGAGTGCCATGTATGTTATCATTCTATGCAGAAACTCTTCCTTTTCCCTGGAAAAAGTTTGAATCTCTTTCCAGTGTACAGTTATAAATGTCATCCCATCTATAAAATAATTCCTTCTGCTCTTCTGTCAGTGCACATATTTTAGCTCTCACATGAATGTATCTCAATGAATATTGGTATAATGCACCATTGTTTTTCCTTGGTCATTTTCTCTTCTAGCAGACCATAAGCTCCTTTGGAGCATGGATAACATTTGTAGGAATACATTCTCACTTCCTGGCATTGTTTCTGAGTAGCATACTCACTCAAATAGTCTATGAATGGATAAGAGAATATTGAACATATGGCTCACTTAGAAACACTCAGCCCAGTTTGAGCTTCATGCTTCTTTTAGTCCACTGCCTGTTGCTGAATATGTACCTCACGTCCACATCTTGCAGGAGAGAGGTTTAATTCAGCTCATATTTTAAGGCACTTCAGTCCATAGTTATCTGATTCCAAAGCCAATGCATCATTGGAGAAAGGCGTATTGGGTCAAACCTACTTAGTTCATGGTAGTCAGGAAAGGGAGAAGGGCATCATTGCCAGAGAGGGAGGATCAAGGGTCAGACATAGTTCCTAGGACCAGATCTCTATGACCCTCCAAGGCATATTCAATTGAGCCACTCAAGGTGACACCCTTCTCTAGCAGCCACACGTAAGAAGTATTGATATTTACACTGATCTTAATATTAATCCTAAGACTGCCAAGTTTGATTTTTCCACTCAAAAAATTGACATACTTTGACTCCTCTTTGCAAAAGATTTTATGTACTCTTCAGGAACTAGTAAGATAAACCACTGCTTTGGTATTCTTGTAATCCACAAGAACTTCAGCAGACATTAGAAACTTATCATCATGTCCCACACCCCTTTATTAGATAAGAAATGCACCTTAAACATATCAAGGAACCTGAAGTACATGTTACCTAAATGACACAGTATGAAGAAAAGTTTTGATGTCATAGGAAAAAAGTCCTCCCTACATTTCTAAAGCATTAGAAATTCAGAAGAAAGGAATTACCTCAGGCCCATAGCCGGAAATATCTGTTTCAAAGAGGATTCCTGAGTTCTATGGAGTGAGGGCATAAATCCTTTGGACTCAGCACTTTTTTCCCCATGAGAAATTCTAATATACAACAGTCAGCTCAGTGTGGCCTGCTTTTTCTGTATCAACTCTCCGTTCCACTGCCTGAGTCATTTGCCTTGTCAGTCTCGTTGCCCATTTGTACTCTGATTTACATAAATATGTAAAAGCCAAGCATATTCATAAATGAAATTATGTTTATAGGATGAGGTCTACAATTGCATTTTCTTTGTCAAAATGAAAGTAATGTCACTTGTACCTCATAACTAGTCATACAGATTAAATAAAATGCTCTAAGAGGCTCCATGACAGAGACTAGCATTGTAGATGAGTGACAAATACAACTTCTTACTGCAAGATGTTTTGTGTAATTTGAGATAATATATAATCTGTTCAGTTTATAATGACATTCTTTTTTCCAAATTGCTTTGTTTTGTAGATAGGGTCTTCCTGTGTAGTTCAGGTTGGCCTTGAACTTCACTATGTAGCCCAGGTTGGCCTGGAACATATGGAAATCCTGCTGCCTCAGCGTACCCAGTGTTGCAATTATAGGCATGAGTCACCACACACAGGCATCTTCAAAATTACTTCTCTGTAAAACACCAGTAGACTCACAGATATTCCCCCATACACCATAGTTAACCAATTCAAGTACCCACATTTAGATAAGAAGGGTGCCTTTTGTGAACCCTATTCATTGTGCCACATTTTGCCTATTGATTGCTTTGAGGTCACCCAGGCCTTTTTTTTTTTTTTTTTTAACTAAGACACCAGAGATGTGCTAGTGTGGCCAGTATTCTTCTAGCTAGATGACAGATGAGCATCCACATCCATAACCTTCTATACCCTATATTTCCAAGACCATGTTCATGGGACGGACAAATTTTTCAAATCTTACTATGCTTTTGGCCTGTACTGATTAGAATAAAAGATTTTTCAATGTAGTATTTGTACCTTGCGACAGAAAGATGAGAAAAAATTTTGTAAAAAAATCTCTCCTTTATAATTCCCTTTGGGAATAGTTAAACTTATACATAAGGAAACTAAGGCTGAGATCATTGCTAAAATACTAACATAAAGGCTGCATGACAAAAACTCAGCATAGCCTTTGTGCCTCTAACATTGCCACCGAATCCTGTGGACCACTGTTGGGTCCTAGGTTTATGCTGAAGTGAGGGCCAGGAGTTGTCCTAGCAAGAAATCAATGAAATAAAAGATATTCTTGATTATTCTAAGTTCAAAAAAAAAACGAAAGAAAGAAAGAAAAACTCCTAAATTCACAAGAAAAGGTGAACAAAAGTTTATAGGAAATGTTTTTTTTATTTATTCATATTTTAATTAGTCAATTAGCATGTGAGGGTAATGCACTTAAATGGGACCTTGGCAGAAAAAGCACATTTTAAACAATAAGAAACCAGGAGAAACATTGAACACAGCTATTATTTTTGGCAGGAGTCTTTTCTTACATCTTTTCTTTTTCTTTTTTTTTTCCCTCCTCTCTGATAACAAAGGGGAAAAAGTTTAAATGAGAGAAGATTGCACAGAGTTGAGGATTAACATTTAATTTACATAATGTCAGTGTGTTAAAGACTATGTAGGTGCAGTAGTATAAAATATTCTTAGTTAAAAAGCAGCTCAAAATAGGAACCTCTTTTATTCGGCATATTTTGCCAAGTTCATTGTGCGGCTAAGTTAAAAAGATCACCATTTTCTTAGCAAAGGCAGCACAAGATATACATAGAGGCATGTAATTATTTAGGACGAGAAATAGTGTGGCTCTTAGTTCAACCCCAGTGATGTAACAGAGATATTACTGGTGATATAATTTGACCCTCCCAGCCCATCACAGTGGTGAAGTCTGCAGAGACACATAACAGAAGAGTTTGACCTTTAACGATACAAAACCACTCCTGTTGGAAAATCATGAAGGACTGTGTGTTCTTTAAGTAGAATCATCAAAATCTCCCTCTGTGAAAGGCATAGCAAGCTGCACAGTAGATCTCCCTCTTGGATCTCACTAATATGTCTGGACAGCTTCACTGAGAAAGAGCTTTTGCAGAAAGACCACCAAGCATTCTCTCCCACCCAGCATACTCAGCTTAATACCTGCAATGGAACAGTATTGCAGTAGCCTGAATTGGTTAAGTGCCTCAACTTAAAAATGAATTACTTTGTTCTTAAATAGGACTCTATGGCTTATTTTGTAATGGTCTCTTTTGGGACTAATGGAGGAAAAAAATGAACACTGGTGACCCAGAGTTGAAATGAATGTGGTGTAATACTTATAACATAGGATCCAGAACAGGGCTTAAAGATAGTGTCAGAGTCCAGGAAATGATTCTTCTCCTACAGTTGTTTTCCTTTTAGCTGCTTGCTGGGAGCTCCACTGTCATTTTTCTGGATCTGCTTTATGGATTTACATTATTTGTCCCAGGGAAATTGAAGTGACAATCACATAGGTGAACTTGTGAGAGATATGTTTAGCTCTGTATCATACTTCTACCTCATGATGTTCGGGACTACATATCTACAGTGCTTCATTGATCATCTTCACAGGAAGATCAAAGAGCAGGCCTACTGCCCTGACGAGGGGCTGCTTTGGACTTTGTTAAAGCAGTAGCAGTTCCCTGTGACTAGTAGAGATGACATCACACTATCAAAACTGACCCAGCTTTGAGTGGCTATCAAATGAGGCAGTTTGACTGTCTTATGTATTTTTTCTGGTTATTTCCAATTCAAGTTGGAATGTGGGTACCATAGAGAATATATTATCTGAGTAATAAGGATGATGCCTACTCAATAGTTTTATGCTAAAATTCAGATGAAATGAAAACTTGTGAAACATCTTTGGTACCCAAGAAGGATAGCTTCCAGGGAGAAAAATATATTACTGTCTAGAAAAAGATCCAGTACATGAAATATACTTTCTAGGAAGGAATGTCCAGTTTGATTTTGTACACAGATGATGCTAAGTGTGGTTTAATGCTTCTCCTAAGAGGGTACAGTTCAGTGTCTCCAGCAGAACAAACAAAGTATTTACCCAACTTGCTCGTCCTCTCAGTTCCCTGCCCTAGGCTTTCTCCCAAGCCCTCTGCAAGACTTGTCTTCTCCTGTGTCTGCTGTCTGGAATGGTCCCAAGTCTCTTTGATAATTTCAATGACTCGTGTTTTTTATCTTGTCACACTACTGATTGAAGCAAAACAACACATCATGCTGCCACTTCACCCAAAAGTGGTGTTCGTACTCTCCCCTTTGGGGTGGCTCAATGGGTCACTAGCAAGAGGCCCAGTGAGTGCTTTCAAAGGGGATTGACTCATCTTTCAAGGAAAATGTACACAACTTTCCGTGTGAAATTTTATGAATTTTCTTGCCTCTGTGTTCTCACAGGGAACAAAAATATGTAATTCAAGTCTTTACAATGAATGCATCACAGTGCAACATCATCAATGTTTCTCTTTCTTCCTGACAAAGTTATGAGCTCTAGAGAGTAAGGACCGTGAATTTATCTTTTCCTTATCTGCAGAGATGGAAAAATACTTGTTATTACATGACTGACGAAGGTGAATTTATTATTGCCCCTAAAAATTCTAATTTAAATTGCATTGTGAAAGAAAGAAACAATCTCCATTATTTAGAAAAGGAAAACAAAATTCTTTTAAAATATGGGTCATCAAGTCCTATGTTTTACTTGGTCTACTTATGTCTCTTTGCACTTATGAAGTTGTTAATTAATATCTTCTCCCTCTAGCTTTAAAAGTAGTTACTGAGTATTTGTGTGTATAATCAAATGATGGTAGTTATGCGACTGAATTGCTGTACCACTAGTGGCAGAACATATTGCAGGGCATTGCCAATAGCTTTGTGAAACCTGGAAACTGTTTTGGGGAGAATTTCAGTCAAAAAAAAAATGCTTTCTCCTTCTTCCCAAAGACAGAGTGTTGTAAATGTATTTCATTTTATAGAGAGAATACATTGATCAATGCAAAAATGTTTTAACAAACTTTACCAATAAAATGGCAGCAAACATTTTTAAGTAATGATTATGCATTCAACACTTTTTAAAGCAGTTCAGACAAAGTAAGTAATTAAAACCTCAGGACAGCGTAGACAGATGTTTTAATTATCCCACTTTGGAGCTGAGAAAACAAGGCTACGGATGTGCAAAAGACCCCAGCCATTACCAAAGCCAATTGTCCAATTCTTGAATCTCAGTCTCTTAAGTTGATCTAACCAACGTTGCCATTGCCAAAGAAAAGTAAGATCACACAATTTCAAAATGGCTCAAGCATCTTACCTTCAGTTTTCAGGCAACTGAGAAGGGCACAGATCTGAAATATTAACCTGAGTTTTCCTCTTTCCACCTCCCACCAGTCTCACAAATAGGGATACTCTAGCATCTATGTCACCAGACCCAATCTGACTCTGGCTTTTGTCTTTCTTTTCTCCAACCATTCTCTATTTTCCCTCATGTCGCTTTTCTGCCTATCTATTCTCTCTGTCTGGCCCAAGTTTTCATGAGCAGAATCCAGTGGAATAACAGAGAAGATTTTCCCCTAATAGTCACCCTCAGGCACACCCCTCCCCCTCAACCCACATCTTCCTTGAAGCCTGCCAGCTCCCCAGTTTTAGCAGTACTTAAGCCTACGTTGTCTATGTTACTGCACTCATCCTGCCATCTGTGCCCTTTGAGATCAAGATCATCATTTCCAGCACAACTTAGTCTTCCTTATTCTGAATTCTCAAAAATAAAACAAAATGAAAACTACCCATATGATTCAACTATATTGTGGAGAAAAGGTGGGCAATTTTGTAGGTCAAATCAAGAGCTCCTTTGCCATAAAGATGGACTTGAGTAATTTGTAGGAAAATGGGTATATCTTGAGACAATAATGCTAAGTGAAATAAATCAGACATAGAGGCTCTAAGAGTACAGGGTTTCTCCCAAGTGGAAAAAAAATTGTGACCTTTTATAATTTTAATAGAAAGAATGCATTCTTACTTCCTTATCACTATCCAAGTTATAAATACAAAATAATAGATAATGAAAGTAGGGAGGTAGGTCTTTCTGAAAGGGGAAGGAAGGTACATCAAGATATGGAGGGAGGAGACAGAGAAGGAAAGGGGATTCAGCAAGGAATTAGATGCATTTTGCACAGATACCAAGTCCACACCAAGAAAGTAAGCACTATGGATTGCACATCGTGCACAAAAGAAAGAGAAGAAGATTGAGAGGTAAATGGAGGTGGAGGTAGCCAAGGGCATGAAAAAAGGGTTTAAGCTAGGTTTTGTGCATGGGCTGACTTCAGACTTCAGACATAAACATTGTGTCCTACAAACATGAACTAATATAAAGAAAGACATTTGTAAGTGAGAGCTGGTAGACATTTGCATCATATGATTCTACTGGAAATATAACCTTATGGAGGTAATTATCATAACAGTATATATTAATCCATGCAAAACTATACACATGCCAACATATTCACCTAGTGTCTGTGTATATGCAGAAAATAATGTCCTATAGTGCTCCCAATGAATTGTCTCTAGACAGCGGATGTAGCAGATATGTCTTTATGTGGTAAAACTTGATGGAAATACATATGCATGGTGCAGGTGAGATTCCAGATAAGATGCAGTTAGAGAAATCTCACCAGACTCTTGCTCCTTCATCTTCTGAGTAAAGAATATCTCCAGTTAGTATCATAGATGAAGACCATATCTGAGTCCAATAATCTTAATGTATGTATCATTCATTATGTATCAGGCATCGTGTTTAATACCCTATGTGCATTTTTCTTTTGTCCTTTTTGGTGTATCACAAAGTTGCAAGAAGGAGACTTTGACTACTCTACTAGGTATGAAGAAATTAAGGCTCAGAAAGTTTAATTAAATTTCCCCAAGATCAAGGAGCAAGGATTCTGTTGGGAGTTTGGTTCCAAAGTCTGATATTTCAACCATAGCAGTCTAGTTACTAAATATGATGAAGAATCTAATAAAAATTATGCATATATGATTAGCAATCCTTGTTTTTCCCTACTCCTATCTTTCTAGAATATGCAGAATAGATATTTATAATATACTTAAATTCTTAATGTGATGTGTGAAAAGAATACTGTTGGTATTTGCTGGTATTTGTTTCATTCACTATGCATAAATCTTCCAGAACATATACTGAATACTTTACATAGCCTCAGTCTTTTACGTGGAGATTCATGTTAACATCAACTAATAGTATGTTCTGCATAATTTTTATAATTCTTTGAATCTGCAAGAATAGGGAGGTTCTGATTCCACAGTGTAATCTTGTGGATTGAATATTAACATCACTTGGCAACTGTATTCCCAGATATGAGGACTGGATTTTAAAAGAAAGTTAACATGAAAACAATACACTCCTGGCAACAGTAGTAAAAATTACATACTGTGTTTGATTCTGCAAAATTGGACAGCTTTAAATGGAGTCTTCTCTTATTTCTAGCTGTCAGTTAAATTAGCCATACTATACAAACTTATGCAAAAAGATGGAAGTGTAAGAATTAGAGGAGAAAATTTTAACAGATTTAATGTGTTGTTGGTTCACACATAATAATTGTATAATTTTATAGATTGCAACATAATATTTTAATACAAAAATATTCATTCATTGTCCATATCTGGGTAATTCACATGTATGTCACCAAAAGTATTAATCATTTCCTGCTGGTGAATACATTTAAAATATTCTAAGTATACTGAAATATACAGTATATTGTGGTTTACTAAACTTATTTCTTCTCTGTAACTGTAAATTTATACTTGTTGATCAACATCTTCTTTTTGCAATCTTACATTATGCTTATAGCTGTCTAATTCTCCTTAAAATTTTACTTTTTTATGATATGATAATTTCTAGTAACTGTGTTTATAATGAGCACATAAAAATGATTCAAATAATATATGGCATGATTTATTATATGCAACTTCTTTGAAGAATCAGTCTACATTTTCCTTTTTGTGCAAATATGTGTGATACTGTGGTATGCATTGTAATGTTTATTATGAACTGATAACAAAGGAATTTCAGTTTTATTATCTTTTTATCCCCATCAATCAGTTTGGCAGATAATTTGTAATACTATTGTTGAGCAGAAATTACTTGTTTAGAAAGAGAGAGAGAGCATCAAGTTGGGGTTAAGGCTATCGGGGTCCCGAGGTTCTGGAAAGACAATCACTAGGACTTACAATGATCAAGGTGTGGGGAGACCCAACTGGGAAGAAACTTGAAGACAACTTGAAGGAGAATTCAATATGATGACTCCAGTGACAGAGGAGTTTAGAAAAGAAACAGGGCTAGTTCACAGAGTCTGCAATGCTGAGAGTCCAGATCGACATAACAGCCCATCCTTCAAAAAGTCCCAATCTTCCATAGGAGGACCTGAGTGCAGTAGTTGCCCGTTGGCCAACAGGTGCCCAGATTAACTGCCAGTACCCAGTGTGCACCTGTGCCAAATGTTCTTCCTCTAGAAAACAGGAACAATGAGCAAGATATTCACAAGACATTGTGCTAATCAAGACGCTAAAACATTACAAGCCAGAGAATGAGTTTGGATCCCTGAGCCATAGGAGCAAAAAGACCGTGGTCCTGGTTGGTGACCTGGAACCAAGTACTGAGGGATCCATGATGTTTCTGTCTGTCCATAGGACAGGGGAGTGCAGCTGCAGGGTTAACTTGCTGAGAACTCCAAGGCTTAGGATCCCAATGCCCTTCGTGTGTCTCCTCACTTTTTAAATTTTATTTCATCTTTATTTTCTTTGCTTGAGTTTTAAATTTTTTTTTTCTTTTGTGTCAGGCCTTGGATACGTGTGTATATAGTCACAGTTATGTATTCAAATTTTTCCTACAGCTTGCAGAATATTACATATAGTTAAGCCATAGATGCCTACTTTAAGTTTGTTTGCTGATATTATATAAGCTGGCTGTGATGTTAGTTCAGCATTTGGGTCCAAATTCCCAATCTTCTCCCATCTCCCACCTACAATGCCATCCTTTCCTTGCCATTATTATATTCTCCCTTATATTGCTCTTATCTCTCAGCCCCTTCCCCTTATATATTGTTAGTTTTCATATTCTCCTTTTTTTTTTTTCTCGGAATGCCTTCAGGGCAGGTTTGGCTGGCTTGAGTTGTGGAGATCGAACCACAGCAACCTGAGCCTGACTGCTTTGTTGAAGCAGCCACTTAAAGAACTGAACTAAGGGGCAGGCCCTCTCATATTCTCCTTTTTAAAGTTTACATTATTCTTCTCTATTAGATACACTATTAAGATTGAT